AACAAACATTTCTGGTAGATTTGTTTGTTTTGTGCGAGTAATAATATTACTAACAATGCAACGGCCTAGATGATCAAATCTTTCCTAACGAATCGGTATTAGTTTACAGTAAATCTGTAGGCAATGGAATTTTTACCCAATTAGCTAATGAAGAACGGGAAATCGAACGGGGAATCGAGAAGAACACCGCGTTAGTATGGCACGAAGTAAGGCTCAAAATTCGTGTTTTTCAAACACAAGAGCAAAGAGAGCCGTGAAACTGTTCGTCTACAGGGAGATAATCTTCGACGTGCACGAAGAAATGCTTCATATGTTGATTTGAATCGAGCAACGCGTCTTTACGATTGCACCGTTGACAACAACTCGCATCCTTTTGTTTGCATTGGTCCAATGAACGTTGTTTGCGAGCATTGATGTTTGCTGGTGAAAAGTCTGAACTGTGCTGCCTTAATGTTAAAGTGAAATTGCCATTACTGGCTGGATAACGGTAGAACTATCACAACGAAAGTGAAAGAAAACGATTTCGTGGTCGACAACAGTTGGATGATTCCATATTTACTGCTTATTTCCAAAAAGTTTAAGACACATTGTAACGTAGAATATTGAAATTCGGTGAATACATGCACGGTACTCTGCATTCATTCAAATTTATTCACTATGTAACAAACGAAGACGAAGCCACTAATTATCCAACTGAATTTTTAAACTCCTTGGATGTGCCTGGTTTACCATCCCTAAATTTACAACTGACTTTATTCATCATACTTCAAAACGTATACCAACAAAAACTACCATTACATAGTTTGCGTTTGAACGCGTTTGGAGATAAGAAAACTGAAATTGAACGTGGCATGTTCACGTGTCGGCATACCATCCGCATTATTTGTTCTTGCGCTTGATAACAAAACAAAAAGCCACAAGGTGCTTGAATGAAGAGAATTAACCCGAGTACATCCCATGTTGCACACAATGCCATCTTAGCCCATATCGGGGCCCTAGGGCACACGAAAGTTTGGGGCCCCGATGGAAAGTAAAAAAAGTGAATGACAAAAACATTTTTCTGTTATCATCTTTCTGTAAACGTCTGTCGGAGTATATCAACCAACAATAGAGAACGGAAAAATCTACATCGCCATTATTGAAAGTCTATTACAAGAGCGTAGTCTTAACTGGAAAGAACGAAAAGAAAGTACTTAAATCTCCTTAATCGGTTCGGTTCTATTTCAGAACCAAGAGCTTCTTAAAATTTCAGACAGTTAAAACTTTGTAAATTGAATAGAATCACACTTTACAATTCATTACAATTCATTAAGCAATTTTTCCAGTCATCGTAAAACTTTTAAATCCAATGCTAGAGCGACACTTAAACTGACCGAAAGCGATAAAAACTGATAGCCTGAAAAGTTTAAGTGCAAACGTGGTCTTCAAGAAATTTTGAAATACCTACCGCTAGGATTAAAAAGACGAAAGGAAAAGTTAGACTGGGAAATTCTTTATACTTTTGAAGGTTTTACCTAACGAAGAAATTATAAGCGATAAATGTGGAAATGGGGAAAAGAAATTGTTCAATCGATACAGATAACACTAACTCGTTCCACTATAAAACGGAGCTCCTCCTTATCCTTATAGAGCAATTTTGATGATAATTGTAATAGTTTTAAATACAAGAGATATTGGTGCAAGGTGCCGCCTCCCTTACGTCCGTTCATAGCGTAAATAATTTATGTAATAATCACATCGGTACTTTCCTATGCCGAGGAGGCAAGGAGGTATCTGCTCCAATGACAATATCCCACTGGCTGTTAACCAACAAAAACAGTGGGATATTACTTTTGTGCAAAGAGTACAGAAAGCTATGTTTTAATCATGAGATTGTAATTTAGAGCGTTCCCGTTTTCTAGGCGTCTCATCTAAAGAGTCGAGTTATTGGCTTCACGCTTTACCATCAAGTAACTTGGGCATATTACTTGATAATGAAAGCTTAGGCATTGCTGCAGGGGCAATCCGTCAGGGGGCACCAATTTGTCAACCACACTAATGCCCTTGTGGTGTGAATGTAGATAAATATGGTCTCCACGGGCTTTCTTATCAAAAAAATGCTGGCCGCTTTTCCCGCCATTGTTCCCCGAACGACATCATCCATAGGGCCCTTGTTTCCATCAATTTCCATCTATTTTACAGCCCTGTGGCATTTTCCGCAACGATGGTAAAAGACCCAACGACTTAACTTTGATCCTTTGGGAGAGAGTCAAATCCCTCGTTACTACATCGGACAGTGTCAGGGTGGCATTGGAGACAAGCGCGCAAATATGAGTCTCTTTGTTTATATTATGTATTTTTGCCATTTGTTTTTGAAACTTTGGGTCCGTACATGGTTACACTTTTTGAAAGGTATACGTCCTAGGCTTAACGCCGCAGTTGGCTTAATATCGCGGCACCGTAGGGCTGGTTCTTTTCTCGCTAAAAGGTTTAGCATAACTATTCAACGAGGAAATTCAGCTAGCGGTCTTACCATCATGCCACGTGAACTAGGTTTATTAGATAATATGTAATTAAGGCCTTGTCTGTACAGAGGATATCAGGGCATAGTCCACCGCGCGGCCCCACTGTGGATTGGCGGACTTCACACTTCTTCGAAATATTTTTTTTTTGTTACTATTTCGACAATATGCAGGTTTCCTCACGATGGTTTCCTTCACCTGATACGTAATGATTCGGCACTTAAAATTAATAATTTCATTCGTGCCGTCGAGGGTTGCTCGAGTATATGGAATTAAAGGCGGGCGGCCGGCCAATGAGCCACCACTCTATACCAAGTAGTAAACATCTACAACATCGTTATAGCCATGCGGAGCCATCAAGACAAAATAAAACACAATAATATAAAACTGTTAAAAGAAGTCGTGGAATAAAATGCATAACAGAATGTAGTGTAATTTTAATTTTTAAAATATAAGGTGGATTAAATTAATAAATCCTTTTTATGTGCATTAAAATTATTAAAACTTTCGTGAGACATTATTAACGTAACAATAAGACGGCTGAACTCGCCTCCGATGAGTCCAAACCTAGTCGGTACATACACCGGCTTTACCTAAGTTCAGCCGTCTTATTAATACGTAAACTACGTATTGTAATATTACAGTTCACCTGCAACTAGTCTCAACAACCATATTTCCCTCGTGTTTATATTTATTTAAAATTATCAACCTGCTCAGCACCTTATCGAAGTTGGCAACGTTCACGCAAACTCTCAAGTGCTGCAGATGTCAGGTAAATGTGGTCTCATGACAATTTTTCACGTAAAAAAATAATTAATCGGAAATCATTATTAAATCAAACTATACGAATGTTTAGGATTCTTTGCGTCTCAAGTACGAGACGGACGGAAACCAATTAAAACTTGCAGTGGTATGTTTGTAGTTTTTTAAATTGTGTGACATATTGCATCGTTGAATTACTTGGGCTTAACTTCATTAGAGCCGTGATAGCTCAGTGTCCGGGCGCTCGCCTTTAATTCAATATACTCGAGCAACCTGAGTTCGATCCCCGGTGCCGGCACCAATGAAGTTTTTTAACTTTAAGTGCTGACTTATCACGTGCTCCGCGGTGAAGGAAAACATCGTGAGGAAACCTGCATATTTTCGAAATAATAACAAAAAAAATATATTTCGAAGATATGTGAAGTCCGCCAACCCGCAGTGGGGCCGCGTGGTGGACTATACCCTGATACCCTCTCTAGAGAGGAGGCCTTTGCCCAGCAGTGGGACATGTATAGGCTGTTACTTTACTTTTTTTTTTTTAACTTCATTAGGAATAGTATTCTAAGTTCTAATGAACACACTTCACTTCTAGGCTTAAGTTATTACTGTTATTATAACTTCAATAATCTCACGTATCACTTTTGGCAGGAACCTGAGTCTTTTTGCAAGAGTATAGAGCATAAATCTCTCAGTGCGGCCGGCGATATCAAAACGTGTCAATTTTTTGTATTTACAATAATCTGTTGTAAATACAAAAGAAATTCGTTGAAGGATCATTATAATGGAAATACGAATACAGCGTCTGATTTTTTTTTTTTTTTTATTTATTCGAACACAAAATATTTTATAGCAGCGTCTTAAGATGTGTGTAAACTTTGTGCGACGCTGAATTGAATGTCGTCAATTAAAATCGCTAATTATTTATGTTTATTACAATTATTAACAAATTCTTGTTCTTGTTGTACATGTATATGCGTGACACACCACCTCCTATATTCAATACAAAACTTCGGACTTTCATTACTGACAGCGTTAACTAAATTCCCAACATGAGATGCAGTCTTAACTCGGTGTTAACTTTTATCATGTCCGTGCAAGCGCAAAATAAAAAAAAACCTATGTTTATCTAATATTCATTTATAGATTTTATCGTTTTTTATTTTAATATAGTTTCATGATGCTTAGAAATAATCATATGACCCATAAGACCGGACTAAAGGACTGATACCGAATTGGCTCCATAAACTCTAATCGATACATAATAATCTATTTAACAATTACTATATTTCAGTATTTGAATGCTAATATATCTCTATTTTTTCTACATCAAAAAGGAGTTAATGTACTACTGAATATTATTTTTAGTAAAAGTAATGTAAATTAAGTGACAGATTCCTATTACTAAAAATAATATTTAATAAAATGTTTTTATTATTGTTAGTAATAAAAAGAATACGATAATAGGATATATAATAAAAGGATACCAAATTACTATAGCTATAAGAGCAAACAGTATTTATAACATTTAGTCTTTCGTTAAAACTAATATAAAAATCAAACATCTATTTCTATTTTAACGAATCCTATGGTTTTAATTAACACTTTTGATTAGTTCATCAAGTAATCTCTTCGTTTATTTTAGTATTAATTTCAATTACCAACCTAATAGCAATTTAATCATGCCCTATAATTCTATTTTCAAACGCAACCTATGTTAAGGCCACAAAATTTACATTACGACTCACCCTCCAGAGTTGCGAATATACCAGCTCCAAGGATGCTGTATGCGAGTAGACATAGTGATAAAAACAAATGAGTGAACCACTTCTTGGAAAGCCACTTCAACTTGCTGTAAAACCAAAACGCAAACTTTTCACCCACACTTAGGCTGCTCTTCGCTGTGCTCATCGTGAAGTCTTTTACACCTTCGAACTGTTTGAACATAAATTCGGACGCTTTTGTATGGTACATGTGCATAAAGGGGTTCTCGTGGTGATCGGAGACCCGTGACAGCGTGGCAGGAGGCAGAAAATACTTCTGGTTACCCCTGTATAGCACGGAAGGGGTATTTTTAAGTCTTCCCGCGGACAAGGAATTCGTTAGTGGTGGAATTGGCAACGACATCTTTGGCCTCGAGGCAGCCTTTTGAGCCGAGGAGGGAGGCGGTCGAGTTGGTGCTTCGAGAGTTGCCATTTCACTTCCAAATCGATCCTGGAATTTATTCGGATCCTTGAAATCGGAGCACGCGCGTCGAACTACATAGAGCACGCGTCTAGCTTCTCCCGTTGCGTATTTTGACTTTGGATAAGCAAACGTACAGAAATATACCGCCGTGGTCGTACGCGAGTGCCCGTCAAAACCAAACTGGCATTTATAAAAACTGAGTTTGGGAGCGGTTTCGGTCATTAGCTGTGTTGTTGTTTTAAAATAGTTATCACACCATCTACACATGGGTGCGCGAAGAATTGACAGACGACAGACGTGCAAGCTCTCAATAGTCATCGTTACGTACACCTAACTAATGAGAACTACATGTGTAGTTGTAACCGTATTGCCAGCACTTGTGACAGGAATGAGTTCGAATCCATCGACATTGGTACCGAACAGCGTAAACAATGAATTCCTCAAATGTAAAATATTTATTCCCTCTATAATCAATCGATAAACCCGAAAAAGAAATCAATGAACATTTAAAATTGTTTTAAGGTCAATTAAGGAGTAAAACATAGAAAATAATTTTGGTAGCAACAACACGGGAAAATGTAAAGATGATATATGTAATAAAAGTGAAAAGCTGAACACGACTTTCAAAAAACAATAGAAAATAAAAATTGACAATAATGTATTCTATTACCTATAAATTATTATAAATTGCAAAAACTGTTTGTACATGATGTGTAAGTGAGCGTGTATGTGTGCATCTATGAGGAAAAGTTACAGATACAAGCTACTAAAAAACATAAACGAGCAAAGCATTACTGTCGTTAGGAGATCTTTATGTACATAAAAGCGGAAAGAATGAAGGTACAATTGTAAAAGAGTAAATATTATATTATGTAAAGTCTATATTAATAAGTTAATAGTATAATAATATATTAAATAATAAATAATGTGTTGATATAATATAACAGATAACTCATTGGCTTCGGCGCCGGGGGTCACAGTTTCTAGCACAGAACAAGTAATTGTGGCACCCACAAATACTTGTTCCAGATTTGAGTATTTTTCCCCAAGGAGGGTTGACCACGCAACAGTATTTATTCCCTGTTGCACAATGGGTAGTTCCGTCTGGGTTAGTACCACGACCTCACAGAAGACCGGCGTGAAATAGAAGTGTTGCATTTCTGCGTTTCGTCTGGTGAGTGAGGTAGCCGGTGCGTTGTTTGCAGATGCGTTGCCACCTCTTAATGAAGTGGGCCCACTTCATTAAGAGGTGGCAACGCATCTGCAACCCTACGGCTGTGGTAAATGTCTATGGGCAGGCTGATATCACTTAATATCAGGTGAACCACCAGCTCGTATGCCACTTTCTGACATAAAAAAACGTTTGGACTCAGGTAGGCAGTTGACAGTAAAAAATTTACCAATACCACTAACAACATAATACGCATGTTGTGCCGACCCCACATGGGCGGGATAAGGACAAGAGGAAAATTAACGCCCCGTTTCTGAAACACTGATTTATTTATTTATTTACTTCACCAACAAGATACACATCAAAACAAGCTTAAAACATAAATAAGTACATAGTATCTTGAAACTAAATGGTATCTCAATTACAGGTGAAACGACATTCAAAAGATATTATATTGACAACTGCTAAAAAAAAAGATTAATAAAAAAAATAATTGAAGTATGTTAAACGCTAACAAAGAATTAATACAGTAGTTGACTTTACACTAAAATAAACAGATAATCAAAACAGAAAATAAACAAAAAATAACAAAAAAAAAGAAAAAAACTGTAGAGACTAAGAAGAAATTTACTCTAATCAAATAAAAAACTGTAAGTGGACAGATTTCTCTTGAACTTGTCTATACTATCGTTAAAAATGTCTATGGTCATATAAGTACCGGACAAGTTATTGTAAGTTTTTGACAAACGGTTGAGTGATAAGTGATAAGCCAAGATTCGTTTTAGACCGATGAGTTACAAACATTTTTCTGACTTTATTGCGTTTCAATTTAGAGGGAGCTGCTAAATTAATACGTGTCAAAAGTTCAGGACAATCCACTGCACCGTTGATAAGTTTATACAAGACAAGATAAGTTTATACTGAACATCGTAGATGTCAATTAATCAGCTGTCAAAAGGCTTTGCAAATTTTATGAGTTGCCAAAAGGACGGTTAAACTCTTTGAATTGATCATTCTGATCATTAAGTAGATCATTCGGGTCAATTTAAGAGTTTAACATTCCTTTGGCAACTAAAATGTAATTTGAAAAGCCATTTGACTACTGATTAATTGACATCTACGCTGATCAGTGTTTCAGAAACCGGGCGTCAGTGTGTTAATCTAATAAATAAATAGTATTTGCTCATATTGCAACTTATTACGCTGTCGGCTAAAATATCCGCCTAACAGCATTGAAATATCGCAACATTTAATCTTTACAAGCTCACGTCGTAACACTTTGTAGTAAAAGCATCCTGTAATATTACCAGAAGTGGTAGTCTTCACGTTTTATGAATACACAACAAAGACGTTGCTATTCCATAGAGTGAAGACACTTTTCATATTCATATATTGGAACACTTGTATGCATAATTCAACTTCGCCTATAAAAGTTACATGCATACGAAACATTTTGGTTCATATATTTGTTTATTGTGAAATAAAAATTTTTAAACCAGGATTTCATTTTTATTTGAGAATTTCCTTTGAGGAACGCTAAATTAAGTCTCTTGAACCGGATAGAGCTGAAACGTATTTTAAGGAGTTAGTATTAAAGAAAGCTACGGAAAACGAAAAGGGAAACGGGTATTGCCTTTGTATAAAGATTTATTTTATTGGAACAAATGGAACGATTAAGCCGGCGACCGGGACCTGAAATGTAATGTATGGTATGGATTGAATAAAATCTTATATTTAAGGCGGGATAAGAAAACAAATAATATGCAATAAAGATAGGAAAGAAAGGGAACAGCCTTTTAAGATACGAAGTTTATAAAACGTAAATATTAACACAAAACATTTATAAATAGAGACGCTAAAACGAAAGGGTTGGAACACATTTTCACTTCATCACACTCATAGAATATAGCTATAGATTTGCGCTATACCTGTAGTTAGTACAAGGCACATAAATCCCCTCCCAGGGGATACCTGCCATGACTAGGGGGCTTAGTAGCCGTGGCTTGGTCCCTCACAGTGAAGCTAAGAGTACTAGTCTTACATCACCGGCTAGCCCAGTGTGGACTGGGGCTAGCCGTTGATATAATAAGATAGACCGGTCTGAGGTAAACGCTCCGATTAGGCTCATTGACCCCACTCTGGATACGTACTAGGAGGGTGCGGGGGATGACTACTTTCGTAGGTAGAGGAGGGGCCACTCTTCCTCTACTGCAACCTAGACGGAGGTGTGAGGGTAGAGAAGTGTCTGTATTATTTTGGTCTCTCTCCCTATCCTTCGCGACTCGACAGGGCTGCACCTTTGTAATGATGGGGCGGTGGAAGAGAAGAAGAGTAGAGAAGAAGAGTATCGGTATTGCAATGTACCGTATACCCTATCTTCAATGACCGTGGGCCTACTGGTATGCGCCATAGGAACATCCTGGGGGTTTTAATTGATGCGTCACCTGCAAGAGCCAATAGTGTTGGCAACACTAAAAGATGTCATTCCTTGAGGTTGTTGGCAACACTAAAAGAAGTGTCTTCTAAGTTATTTCTTGGTCATCTTCCTTGGCTGTTAACGAGAAGTATACGCGATAGTGCCGCATAATCGGTATCATAAATTAAATCGTTAGAGCGGTGATTCTTTAGTCTAAAAGTGAAAATAAGTAATAGCAGTGTTATTGTTGGGCAAAGTGAAACTACGGTAATTTATATTTCTACCTTCTTAAAAACTCGCTCGATAAAACAAAGTAAAGCTAACAATAGTATTTTACCCCAACGTAACAAAAAAACAAAAAATATGTAAAAAGAAATAACCTCTACCTCCCCTAGAAAGCGAACCAAAGTTGATTTGGGAGGACAACACGAGTGGTCCCATATTAACGCATGTAAAGACAGGTGCTGAGGGATACGCTACAGTTACTCACTAGCTACGCCTGTTTTGGTAAATTCTTGGTAAGTTCTTAGTTAGAGTAAACCGGGCGTGCTCCAACACACAACAGCGCACTATTACCACTGCGGTGGTGACCGATTCTGCGCAACACACAAACCGAATATCATATTTACGGCATCGAAACTAGACTGATCTTGCTACACATGAAAGCGTTGCGCTGGTGGCTACGGACGTCCCACCCCGTCAGCCCTGTGATTACTTATAGAATAATAGAGGTAATTAGTGCGCTTAGTAAAAGGCCACTAAAAGCCGACGGCGCGTCAAAAGCTTGCTGGGCGATCGGGATGAGATTCGATAAGTGATCACATATTGCTACAATGCAGTGAGGATGCAAAGAAGGAATAACTCTTTCCTCCTTTTTGTTTATGGAGGAAACTTCAAACGAGCAAAGGGTATAAGTGGTCATCGCCCCGTAGACATTCACACCATCTGCTACCACTGCCAACCTTTAAACGACCTTTAAGTGTGCAAATCCCACATGACTTTGTTAACACAAAAAAACAGCGCCACTTTTCTCCTCGTAATAATTACTTTTTTAACTTTAAGGATTGAAACAAATTCTATAATTTAACTTCGTAGTGACCGAACATTTCAATTAATTAAAACTTCCAGCGTCAGAGATTAATCAGTTCGACGTTAACAGAAAACCAATTTTCGTTATAAAGGACTTTCTTCATTTATAAAAATTCTTGGAAATTTTCGTCGCTGTAAATTTTACTTCTTTTTCATTTGTACTTCATTTCTTCTTCTTTCATATCTTCATCTGTGTTTAAGCTGTGCGTATAAATTTAAAATTCCTCACACCTCATCTTTTTTATACGAATATTTGCATAGACACTACTGCGGCACTACGATCATAGGGTTATATCACGGATGATGATGAAATGATTCGACGAGAAAAAGAGTGATATCAATAGTGTAAATTAAGAATACAGGAAAGTAAATAAGCGAAAATTTATACATCATTGATGTATTTAACTTTATACTTATTCTAACTAAGAAAGCGGCCCAAACATGAATTCATATCAAAACAGATTTTCTAATGTGACTGAATTGCTGTCTCTGAACTAGGGATTTAAATTAAACCAGCAATTTAAATGTCTTCCTATATCTCACTTT